GTCAGAACATTAAGGTCACAAATCAAAAGATGTCACTTACGAAGGACCTAAGCTTCCCTGGCGTAACGCTGGCCTTGTAATCCTGGGGTTTCGGGTTCGATTCCCGGCGGTGCCCGCATTTATAACTTGTGTTGGGCAAGGCCTTGGTCTAGGCAACACGGAGTTTTCCTCCGTGGCATCCCAACAATTACTCCATTCACACCCAGAAGAAGGCAATGGCAAACCACTTCTGGATCATCTGCCAAGAACGTATATGAACAGGTCCCAGTCCGAGAAAAGGATGGAAGGATCCTGTTCATATGGACCTGTCGGCAGACAGAACACTACAAATAAATAAAATGCTTGTATATGTCGGTGAATTTACAACAAACGAGGGAAGTGTATATTTCGATGTATATTAAGTGGTAGGTCGAATCCTCGTAATGTTTTGTAACGTCATATGAGGAATTGAAAACCCCGATGTCACCTACGAGTTTGAAGTGACACGTCCCGAAGTTTGGTGTGGGCTGGCTGACTTGTGACGAGGTCCCCGTTTTCTTCTCTGAAGAGACTGTGCGCTGGGATCCGTACCTCGGTGTGCTGCAACATTTAACAGACACATCGATCGATAGAAGCCAATGATTTTCTGAATGACCCTTTAAACGGTAACTGGTGTAAACGCTGCGATTCTATTGTTTGGCCTAAATTCACCGCCCGATTACTTCGTGTGTGAGTTTGTGAAGAACAATGCGTACTAAAGAACCTCAGGACGTTTATGACCGGAAGACAAAGACTCCAGTAACCCTCATGCAAATCACGCTGGAGATATTAAACCTGACATGGGAATAATTTCTGTCCCGTTATGAACTTCGTCGTACCTGCAATGGGTCTCACATTGAGACATAATGAACTTCGTCTGCAAGAAACATGTATCCATTTCATAACGGATAACTTTGTACCTACATTTATTCTTAGTAACGGCTCTGTATTAAGGATCTGTGTCGTATTTTAAGGTAGATTTGCGATAACAGCAGCTTAGATGATCTAACTGAGAGAAGCCAAGAAAATTCTGGTCTCCTTTTCTGAGAATCGACCACTGGACTCCAAATTTCCGAAGAATGAGATATAACCATACATTAT